TATTCAGTATGATTAAGTGATTAGTATCAGTGATGCGGTGTCAGTGAATTGCTTTAGGTGAGTGATGCCCGTCGTCGTCGTCGTCGTCGCCGTCGCCGTCGTCTTAGCATAGACGAGGCAGACAGCTTGGCCTGTCAGGATTGCAATCGAAATATACATAGTTTAAAACGTATATTATGGCCGTTTATCTTGAATGTTCTCTTACTGCTCTCGGCTGTTCATTTACTTTTATATACCATTCAAAGGTGCTTTGGCTTCTCAGTGAAGCTCTTATAATTTCTTTTTATTCTTATCGTAATTTTAAATCAATTTGTCGCATCCACTACATTTCGGCTTTGACCTGGAGAAACATCTGCCGAAACAGCTTGAGGTGTTCGTGCTGTGTACCGCAAGGACTCTACAATGACTGAAGGTTGTACTTGACGAGGTTTGCTAAGGTCGAAAATAGATTTGGAGAACGTACCACACTGATCTATCACCTGAGGTCGATGAAAACCTCGAACAACCAGTAACTCGTTAATTGGAGGAGACGATAAGCTGCCAGCATCTGACAATTCTCATTCACCTGAGTATATGGCATTTTATTAGATAGTAGGAGTCTGGCTGTGCCACGAACGGGGCGAAGGGCATATAAAACCAAGGCGTATCACCGATTCTCAAAACCTCGCCCAGCACCGGGCAATACGCAGCCACAATGATCGGTTTCTATACAGAATTGTCATTAATAACGAGAAGTGCTGTCGACGTAAGGTAGAAAACGGATTGATAACTGCAGAAGATATATGGCTAGCTGCATCGATCAGGCTCGAAAATTTCTTTTGAAATTGATGAAAAGAAACATTTTTTTGAGGTGCGGCGAACGAGAGTAACGGCGAATACACAATGCATTGGTTTGTTATTAGAATTCTAGTGAAATGCTATAATTTATTTAGTGAAAAACAGTAGCAGTTTATGTTCGAATCTAATAAATAAAATTTACGCTGTTGTATCTTGGGCTAGAAATATATATATTCTACATTTTGGTGCACTATATTTCAGTGGCAGTCCGTGGGAAGAAAGCTCGTGACACGTAGTTGAGAATAGCTTTTACTATCACTATAATCTGACCTGATAGTTTGAATTAATGTCGCTTTTGATCCACTGCTTATTAGGCACTCCCTGTCGTTGGAACTCTTCCTCAAGCGAGAAGAAGTCCCACCCGAATGTCTTGGGTAGATCTTCGCTGCATGCCGTATAGTGGAAGCAGTATAGTTGGTGTACGTGCACTGAATGTCGAACAGCAGACGCGTAGCCGACAACACAGAGTTACCGACATCCAATGGTCCCCAAAGGAGTAAAAACAAAAATATAATTCATGTATACAGATGCCGACAGTAACAACACCAAAAACACATAAATTATCATTACTATCAAAACTCGGTAATATCTAACGCATGTGCGTCGCCTCGACCATTTTGAAATCGAACTGCTTAAATAGATCGAAGGTAATCGATTTAGAAAAGAACATTTCTTAAAAGGTACCAATATCTATTGAAATTGTCGCTATATATAATAAATCATTCAAATATGTTTACAAAATACATATGATACACAACAGTAAATAAAGATTAATAATTAAATATCTAATTAAGCAAATACTGTCTATATTACTAAGACTCATGTCTACAAATGCATTTGTATCACGATAGTTCACTGAATATATGAAATACTATCTACATTTATACTTTAAGTGCGACTCAAATAAAATACGGTTACACTTTAATATTTCACCTTTTTTTTTAGGCCCGAAGGATCACTTACTCAATACAAACAAAGGTTTCTGAGGAAATTTTTTCATAGGTAAGTATTTACCGAGAGAGACCCCGATTTTCACATATTATCATACAACGCAATGACACCGCTGGATCGTTTAATCGTTTAAATCGTAAATTCATATCGTTTAAACGTTAAGACAAGTTGTCTAGGTAGTGTGATACATCGATCAAAAATGGGTTGCAAAAGCAAAGAATACTCTTGAGAAGCTCATCATAAATTGTTGCACCCGGTAGTTGTAGCGATTAAATACGATAGTGCTGCTGGCGTGGTTATCTTACATCTTATTGATGGCAGAATGGATCATGAAATGTACATTACTGTATTTCAGAAGAGCCCCGCTTAATGTGTCTACCAGATGGGACTAGCTCGCCAATAAATATAACAAGATGATTCATCAAAACATTACTGTCAGCATACGGCTATGAATAGTAGGCTGTGGTTTCTAGCCGTGATATCAGTACTGATCGAACATTTCTGGAAGGCATTGTACATCTAAACATAGGTTGTAAAAAGCATAGAGCTTAGTATTTTGCCTAGGATCGGTCAGTTCATGGGTTAGGCCACCTCAGCCTGCTGTGGAATTTTTGTAAAGAAGCGGATTGAGTCATCCATGTTTACTTGAATCCTGCTACTCTTTCCAAATTGGCAGCAATAAGAGTAGAGTGCCGACTATTAACAAATAACCGGCCAACTGGGAGGTGTCATATCTTCATTCATCGCCCTCAACAGGAAATACACCGTGTCTGCATCTGTCATTTGACCACACTACCGGACATGCTTCTATTCCGAGTCCAATCATTTCTGATGTCATGTAAGCTGGCCGTGACACGTAGGCATCATCTGTAATAGAATGCCTGCTTTAAAAGTTTTTATGATTGATGAACGGTAGCGAACGGCGTAAGGGCTTATCGCCGCGAGCTTCTCTGGGTCTAGGGAGGTTCCCAGCAAAAAAACCTTATCACCAAGGTATACGACTTAGCGCATAGCGAACGGTGCAAGGGCCTATCGCCGCGAGCCCCTCTGGGTCTACGGAGGTTCCCAGCAAAAAAACCTTATCACCAAGGTATACGACTTAA